TTTTTTTTCTCAATGACTCCCGAACTCCTCACAGCTGTGTGAGGTGTCTTTGGAGACTGGCTACAGCCTCCCACTTCCTCAGGTCTGAGGATGTGAGGCAGAAAGACAAACCTCAAGTCGGCTGGAAGCGTTTGCAAAGCATCTTTTAGTCCACAGCGTGCTGTCACTGGCGCCTGCTTGGCCCAGCCTTGGTCTGGGCCCTGGGGACATTGATGAGTCAGGTCTGCATCCTGAACCCCCTGTCCAGTGGTGGCCACTCTGGCTGTGCCTGCTGCCTTGCCCAGAGTTGTGGGCTGTTCTGTGAGAGGACTCAGTTGGGGCCTTGGTGAGTTGTGGTTCCAGCTAAAAGAGGCTGTGGCCTGGACACACACACCCAGAACCTTTCATCCTCTGCTCAAGCCTCCTGTCCCCAGACAAGACCTCCTGTCCCCAGACAGGCCTTCCTTATAGACAGTTCATGTATCCCACTGGCTTTCTGCAAGGGCTCCCTCTGCCTGGGACTAGCCACCCTGTTCTTTGTTTGCCACTGCTGGCTACCTGAGACTGGATCCCCATCTCTCCCCCCCCCCCCCCCCACTGCTCAACAGAGAGGAATACTGCACCTTGAACACTTAGGCTGTGGCTCCGTTCAGAACAGGCCCTTCCCTCCAAGTGCCCCAGCCTTCCTGAGCTCCTGTCTCCCTGTCACCTGTGCCTCCGCCTTACAGGGCCTTCTCCCTGAGGAAAGGCATTGACCATGTCAGCACAGGGCTGCTGAGTGTGAATGACCTGTGAGGTGTTTGTTGAATGAGTGGTATTTTTGCCCTTCTCTAAAAGCTGGAGCCAAAAGAATACATCACAAGAGCTCAGAACTGAGGTGAATCAGAGGTCTAAAGCTTGTTTGCTGTCTCCATCGGCACAAAATGCCGGTCAGCCAGGAGACTTCTCAAGGAGGTGGTGTGACGTCCTGACCCCTTGGGCAGAACTGGGACCCTTGAAGATGACCTCACAAGGTAGAAGGCACTCAGAAGGACCCTGGTTCAGAGTCATCAGCCTGAAGAGGCAGGTTCTGGGCTGTCCCAGATGGCCAGGGCACAGACCAGAACAAGCGGCAGCAGAGCTGAGTGGTCTGTGAATGCTTGCTTCTCCAGTGTATGCAGAGATGAGATTCAAGGGCTGGGTCAGGTGAGTGTGTGCTAGGAACAAGAATAGGGTAGTGTGCCCCCCACCCCACCCCCGCCGCTGGAACCAGAGGGTGGAGAGGAGAACCATTTGCTGAAGTGCACCCCTCCAGGCAAATATGGGCTGCTGATGGGCTCTCTGAGTGATGTAAACATTTCGGCTCCTCAAGCCTTCCTACTCCATTCTGGGGAGGCCTCGAGACTTCACAGATGTAGAGCTGTGATTGATACCATGCGCTGGACGGCGGTTGGAGAAGTGCATGAACCGGATCAAGCAGGGGCTCATGGAGATTCTTGGCCCAGGAGCAGAAGTGAAGGAGCAGGGAGAGAGGGGGAGGAAGAGAGAGGGCAGCTTCCCTCACAGGCCCCTCATTCATACTGTTTCTTCAGTACCCAACCCCATCGTGGCATGCGGGGGAGATGGACTCAGAGGTAGGGCTAGCAAATTCCTAAGGGCTTGAGGCTTTGGAGCCAAAGAGAAAAGCTGGGGAGAGAATTGGTGGAGAGTGTAGGGAGCAGGGTGCTGAGGGGAGGGGTGGAGGACTCTCCTCCTCCTCCTCCTCTTCCTCCTCTTCCTCCACTTCCTCCTCCTCCTCCTCCACTTCCTCCTCCTCCTCCTCCTCCTCCTCCTCCTCCTCCTCTTCTTCTTCTTCTTCTTCTTCTTCTTCTTCTTCTTCTTCTTCACCACAAGCTGAGATCAAAGATGATATTTTTACAGCAACTGAAATAGAAAACCACTGGACACATGGTGGGAGGTGAGTGACCAGGACACAAGCCCCTTTATGCAGCCTGTGGCTGGAGTAAGCATCCTGCCTCCTTGCCACAGGGAGTCCGGGACAGTGTGGTAGTGACCATCCCAGCTTGGGTTCAGGGATAAAACAGGGGTGAACCCTGGGTGTGGACTGCAGTTTAGTAATGGTGGAAGCATCACAACCCAGCACCTTCCACCCATGCAGCCATCTTTGTCATTGTGTTGCATAGTCTGCCATTGCAGGCATTTGTGTACAAGGCTCTGAGTCATCCAAACAGAGCCCTGGAGGAAGGGTTACTTGTGGCCCTTGTTTTCTGGAAGAAGCAGCCCAGGATACAGGGGGAAAGTGTCCTAAGTTCTGTGCTATAAAGTGTTGAGAACAAATTCAGAATTGGGTGCTGTGGACTCATCTAGCACTCTTTATAATCACTGTAATCACCCATTGCCTACTCACACACCAAATCTCCCCCGCCATCCGTTAGCCACAGCCAGGTCCCCTAGAGCAGCAGGTCCTTAGACGTCAGCACTGCCTCAGCTTCCACAAAGTTAAATATAATAGTAACTAATACATGGGCTAGGTGTGAGCCTGGGCCAGGCATCCTTTTAGCCCTACAGAAATATTAATTCAGGGACCTTTTGAGAAAGACTAAGGAGATGGAGGTGCACAGAGGCAGTGGAACCCCTCAGGTTTGCACAGCTAAAATGTGGCAAGTTCTAGAGTCCAGACAAAGCTGGCAGCAGTGTGTCTGGCTCCTAGAGCACATTCTGGGCATGGCTGATGATGCAAGCAGCATTACCTCACCTGAGAGTGAGCCGATGACCCCCAGTCTCTGAGATCTGCTGCTTTGTCAAGACTGGGGAATGAGTCAGCTGCAACCCCAGCCTCAGTGTCTGGAACCCTGGGAATGCCAGTTTCTCGAAGCACAATGCTGGGCTTTTGAAACACCCCACTTTATATAGGACACAGGGTGGGCTCTGACTGGGAGCTGTTTGACCTCTCGGAAACTCTGTTTCTTCTTCTATAAACAGAAGGATGATAGTTGTAGATCCACAGAGATGGACATTTGTCATACCCAAAAAGTATGCACAGAGCCGCAGACTATGGGTAAGGCAACTATCCTTCTTTCTTCTCTATGTCTTCTGGTAGCTTGGGGGAATGTCAGCTCAGGGTCTAGAAAGGTTCAAAGGAAAAACCAAGTTGCTAAGTGGACCAAGTGCACTTGACCTCTAGCCCCCCTTCTCTTCCCATCTCCTAGGCACAGCAGCTCCAGAGGTTTTGGAGGTTAAACACAGGCGCCCCCTGTGTCCCAGGAGGAACTTAGTTACCTGTGTTGGTGAGCACCAGGACTACCACACCACAGCACACCTCACCACACTACACCACAGCACACTGGCTGTGGCTAGGCTTCTGCAATGAGTGCTGTGTTTGAGGACCGGTTGCCTTCAGGCTAAGAACATCTGAAGCTCGTTAGCTGCCTGTTCCCTGGGGGCTGACCCCGCTTGGCTTGGCGAGAATTACCCCCAGACAGAAATTGCAAAGGATGCAAACGAAGACCAGGTGAGGGGTGGCCACAAAGATGGGGGGCAGGCAGCATCTCCAGAGTAGCCTCTGGGGACCTGGGGCGAGCAGAGGAGGCTGGGAGGAGAGCCCCAGGCCTGGCCCAGCTCCATCCAGTCCATCGTGGCTCACCAGCTATGCAGCCTGGGGGCAGGGGCTGGCTTTCTGTCTCTTCTCTGGACCTCAGTGTCCCTGTGTGTTGATCACTGGAAGAAAGACAGGCAAGGTGTATACACAGAAGGACTTGACATTCTAGAATGTTGGGTCTCTGAGGTCTGGCTTAGTGCTACTGGGAGGTAAGGAATAGGAGGCAAGTCAGGAGAAGGGAGCCATGATTCCATTCAGCTCTGGAGATCACAGGGGAGCCAAGAGGAGAAAGCCAGAAATTGACCCCATAGCTCAGAACTGTCAACTTGGGACTCTCAGTGCCTGAGAGTGGCACAGATGGTTAAGCTGGTCAGAGGTAGGGCAGGTATGAACTGAACCATCCAGAAGCAGGGCTTCCAGCTGGGTGTATGTTCCAGGACCCAGTGACTTCTCCTTAGGACTCACCACCCTCCCCTTCTCTCTCATAGACCACAAGTAGCTTTCACTGAGAACTTTTTATTATCATGCCAGGCTGGGTTTTAAGTGCTGTATACACATTGAAATCAATTAACCTTTTCTCTGGGTGGCAGGTCCTGGTGTCTGACAAGCATGAAGTCTGACCAGCAGACCTGACACTGATCTCTCTCAACACCTCACAGGTCAGGAAGGCTGGGCCTAGCATTACCCTGACCTCAGACAGCCTCTCATTCCCTCTTGGGACTCTTGAGAAGCTGTGGCATGGTGAGCCTGGTTTCTGAGGCACAACTTCTCAGGGAGACCTGCTGGACACTGGGGAAGACACAGACACGTCTCCCAGACAGTACAGATGACCTAAGGGCATGCATGTGACCAAAGTGGGCTTTTTCCCAAGCCTTGGTTTTGCTCCAGATGCCTCACTCCTCATTTGCTGCCTTCTGTCTTCTGACAGGTGAGCGTCCCTCAAGCGCAGGCTTCAGCCTGGCTCCTGAACGTCCTTTGATTCACTGAGCTTCCAAGACATCTTTCTCAGATAGGCCCAGTCAAAACAGGACCACTCTAAACAGACTGCCACAACTAAACACTTGATCACTTTCAAAACCAAAAAAACTAACCAGATGACTGTAGAAAATACAGACAGTTGTAAAGATATGAAAACATACCTTTGGTTTTTCTGAGAAATTTCCACCCCCTTCCCCATCCATCCTTGCTCCATCCCTATCCCCTCCCTCAACCGCAGCCATAATCAATATCTCACCTGCTTTTGCCAACAGCTGTTCCCACGAGGAATAATCCTTGACAGCAGACCCTGGAAGACCGCCTTAGACCGGATTCTGGAAAGGTCTGGCGTCTTCAGGAACAGCAAAACTTCCGCCCAAACGGAACTGTTTAAGTGTATGATATCCTAAGACCTACTCCTGGCCAGTAATCCAAAGACTGCATCCAGCTGCCCCCCACCCCCAACACTCTGTGGATTTGCTGTGTGACCCTGCTGCTCTCTGAGTCTGTTTCATCAATTGTAAAGGATTGGGATTGATCAAGTGGTTTCTGCCTGGCTAGTCCCAGTGGCCTCAGCCTTGACTTCTCAAGTAAGACTTCCAGTCCCGGGACAAGGCTGACATGGCTCTGAGGTTTGCCTGAGGGCAGGTATCATGCCACTTTGGGCTTCCCCATGGAGCGGCTCAGACCAGAGTGCATATCATATATCAGGTCTGCATAGAGTCCCCAGAAGGTAGACATCCAGGACTTTTGGATACAGTGTGAGGTATCTCCAGGGAGGTCCTGCCTGCCCTGTACCTGGCTTCTTCCTGGCTCACAGGTCTGGGCCAAAGCTTGCCGATGGAGCCACTGTCTGCCTTAAGCTCACAGCTTGGGAGATGGTGTGGACCCTCCTCATGGAGTGTCAGTAATGTTTCCCAGAGGGCCTTGGGGCTCATGACATTATGGACAGCAGTTTCCAAGTGGGACCCACAAGGCTAAGTCCATTTAAAAATGAGCAATGCTCCTGGGAGTTGGTGGTGGATGCCTTTAATCCCAGCCCTTGGGAGGCAGAGGCAGGTAGATCTCTGTGAGTTCTAGGCCAGCCTGGTCTGAATTCCAAGACAGCCAGGGCTGTTACACAGAGAAACCCTATCTGGAAAAACAGAAGAACAAAAATGAAACAGAAAAATGAGCGGTGCCTTTTTTTTTTCTTTCTTTTTCTTTCCATTTTGGCTGAGACATGGAATGTAAGTTAAATGACTGCAGGGATTTACACAGAAATTACACAGGCTGGATCCAAAACTGCCTCTGGTTTCTGGGGTCCTAAACACAATGACAGAATCCAGAAGTTTGTTCCCTCCTTTCTTAAAGCCACCCTGATTCTATTCCAGGTTCCCCCAACAGTACTAAGATCAGGGGAAATGGCAGTCTTTAGGGCCTAGGCGGTTTCTCTCACCCTCAGCTAATATCTGTAAAACAAGCATAATAGTTCTTCACCTGAGCATTGCTCTAAGACAGCATGACACCAGCCAAATGTTTATTCATTCAACACTACTTACCAAGCACCTTCTCTCTACCAGGCATTGTCAAGACCCCTTTTGGAACTATACTGCAATGGAGGAGACAGAGAATAAACCAATAATGAAGGTGTCTCTAACTAATGTTGCTATTACAAAATACCAGAGGTAAGGTACTTAATAAACAAGAGAGGCTGAACTGACTCATGGTCTTAAATGCCCAAGATATGATAGCACATCTAGTCAGCTTCTGATGAGGGCTTTGTGCAGCATCTATTCAGGTAAAGAACTGGAAAGACAAAGTGGGCATGCATAGAAGGAGTATGTGAGAGAGGGCAGGGTAGGTTGACTTAAAATCCAGCTTAGAGAGACCTAACTCCCTCTTATGAGAACTAGTTTAATTTATTAAGGGAAATATAAATCCATTTATGATGGTGGTGACTCGCCTGCCAGCAGGCCTCCCTATTAGCACACAGGGAGTCAGTTAGTCCTTACACACCTTTGCAGGGCACACTATACTTGGATACATCAGATAGAATGTGTTCTGTGCTGAAAATAAAAACTCCCTCTGGAGGAGGGGTAGTGGGTGGGCCAGGGCCTGTCAGGTGGCCTCACCAAGAAAGGAAGGGTTTGACAGACTCTGAGGGTGAAGCTTTGCATCATGTGGAGGAAGAACCCCCCCCCCCAGCTGAGGAAGGACACTGGTGATTGTGGAAGCAGGAGGTGAGCTAGATATGGCACTCTAAACCTTGACTTCTCAGCCTTGCTCTGGGCTGCAGCAGCTCTGCAGTCAGAGGGACAGTCAGAGGGACAGCTAGGACAGTCAGGGAACAGTCAGGGAATAGTCAGGGGACAGTCAGGAGGACAGTAGGAAACAGTCATGGGGACAGTCAGGGGGACAACCGAGAACAGTCAGGGTACAGTCAGGGACTGTGGCTAGCTTTGCACTCTGATCTTCAGACAAGCCTCATTTGTTAGATCATAAATAAGATGTCACCACACAGGGAGGCTCCTGACTCCCCGTGCTCCTCTAGGTCTGACTCTGGCGATTCATCACAGCCATTCCCAGTGTTTCAGCTAACCATTCAGCCCAGCCTGGGTCCTGGATGCAATCCCAAGTGGGGGCCAGAAACAGGAAGCTGGGGTCTCCAGCCCTTTCTAAAAATCTCAGAGTCTGTGGCAGTGATCAAAAGTCTGCATCGCACTAGAGATCATTTTCTGTAGGATTGCCTCCTCCCTTTCCTTCCCTGTATATAAAAAAAAACCAGGGAGCACACTGCTGGCACACAGCTGTGTGTCTAGGGAACCAGATTTAGTGATCTGATTCTGATGTCCCCTCCCTGGCCTGATGCCCCAGGACTCACTGCAGGCTTCAACCAGGCCAGGGCCACACCTTCTTTCCACCCTTGTCTTTATTTTTCCCTCTCCTCTCAGTACAGTTCTATTCCTCTGCTGGAACTCTCTGTGCTCCCTCCCTCCCTCCTTCCCTTCCTCCCTCCCTCCGATCCTCCCTTCCAGTCAGCATTATGAGAAGGGTTCACAACTCAAGACAGATGGATCAGGGCTCAAACCCCAGTTCCTACTGCACTTTTCTGCCTGCCTTGGTTTCTTGTCCTAGGAAAGTGGGTGAGCCTCCCAATCCATGCTCCTATGGAACATTTAAGTTGAGATGTTTCTAGAATCCTTCTGCAAAATAGTGGGTACTCAACAAATGGAAGTTCTCTCTTACTTTTCTCCCCATGACCTTCTCCCTGTCTCCTTCATACACAAAGCAAAAGACCACACACACACACATACATACACACACACACACACACACACACACCTGGTCCCCAAGCACCATGCTGTGAAGCCAATAGTGCTCACTCTGGCCCTATGCTGGAGGCATGCCTAGTTGTCACGCTAGCCTCTGTCATGGAGCTCCCAAAGGGATTTATAAGACATCCTCTAAGCTGTGACTCAGATACCAAAGTTGTTTTTTCACTAACTAGAATACAGGAGAGACATGCTGTCAACATCTCAGTATGGCCTACAGACCCCCGCAGTGACCCCAAATTACATTCCTTACACTTACAGGCTTCTCTCCATATCCTACATTCTTGACCCCAGCTAGAGAGTCTAACATCCTCATTTCACTTTTTAAAGGTCTTTTGAGCTGGAGTTTTGTGTCATCTAGGCTGACCTCTAATTCTTGTTAGTGAACTGAGGATGGCCTTGAACTTCCAATCTTCCTGCTTCCACTAGCTGAGTATTAACATTGTGAGCATGCCCCATAGCGCCTGGATGATTACTCAAATTTTTAAATGGAAAAAATAATTGAGCCAGGTAGTAGTGGTGCATACCTTTAATCCTAGCACTCAGGAGACAGATGCAGATGGATCTCTGTGCGTTTAAGGCCAGCCTGGTCTACAAGTGAATTCCAGGACAGCCAGGACAGTTTCACAGAGAAACTGGGGAAAAAAACAAAAAAGAAAGAAAGGAAGAAAGATAGATTGAGGCTCATTTGCATTAGTAATTGGGGAAATGCAAATCAGAACCACAGGCAGAGCTGGGATGAGGATCAGCTGGTAGACTGCTTGCCTGTCTTGCACAAAGCCCTGAGTTTGATCCCCAGGACAGCATATACCCACGCCTATAATCTCAGCACTTGGGAGGTGGAGGTAGAAGGATCAGAAATCCAAGGTCTTCCTTAGCTCTATATAGAGTTTGAGGCTAGCTAGCTTGAGTTACAGATGACTCTGTCTCAAATAAAATTTAAAAAGCAACGAGATTCTTCTTTACACTAAGATGGCTATAATAAAAACAACAGAAAATGGCAAGCTTTGTCAAGGCTGTTGAGAAACTGGATCCTTCATACGTTGCTGATAGAAATGTGAAAAACTGTGGAAGACTGTTTGGCAGCTCTCCCAAAGTCATGCAGAGTTACCATACAATCTAGCAATTCCGTTCCTAGGTATATACACCAAAGAATTGAAAACCTGCATCCCAGACAAATGTTTGCACATGAATGTCCATAGCGACATTATCTATAATGGCCCAAAAGGGGAAACAGTCCAGGTGCCCACTCAGCTGCTGAATGGATAAACAGAAGGCAGCATATCCATGAGGTGGAGTGACATCCATCACAAGAAGTAATAGAATATCCATACATGCTGCAACATGGGAAAATTCCAACAAGAACTTGAAATGTCCAGAAGAGAAAAATCCATAAAGTTTTTGTTTTGAAATAAATAATGGTTTTTAGAGTTTGAGATGGTGAGTCATATTGGGGAGTCACTACTAATGGGTGTGGGGTGTTTCAGAGGGTGGTGGAGGGAAGTGTTCTAGAATTTGAAGTGGTAAAGAGGGAGTTATGCATCAATTTTTAATGGTAGTTGTGTAGGTCTGGGGGAATCTTTAGCACATTAGGACTACTGTCCTTAAGTTAAAGATAGGTGACTACAGCCCAGAGAGAGAGCAAGGACCTGAACCCAGAACTACCCACACCCCGTCTCCACCCCAGACTGTCAGTTCCTAGTGGATTGGATCCTTTGCTAGTCCTATGGTTCCTGTAGGGATAGCATAGCCCCAGGCACACATCAAGCCTCAGGCAGGACTGCACCCATTGCCAGAGGACGAAGACCCACACTCGGTGAACCCAAGGAAACATGGGCTCAGTAGCAGTTGGAGACCCGGGGGATGCTCAGGGCCTCCAGTGATCTCCCCTCCCCACCTAGCTCTTCCCTTCCTCCTGCCTTCTCTTCTTCACAGGAAAGGAAACACTGAGCAGGAAGCCACTCCCAGATTCACTTAGCCACCCCAGGGAGACTGCTCAGTGTGTTCCCCCTGGGTCATAAACTCCTCCTAGACCAGCTATGCAGCTAGAAAAATGAAATTCTCTAGAAGACCTGACCTTCCATCAGGGTGCTAGGCTCTGTGACTGGTGCTTCTCCCCAACACTCAGAAAGTGAGGATGCATTGGAGATTTGACAACAGAAACAAGAGGAAGGCACAAACTCAGCCACCTCCTGCCCTGGGCACCAAGGGCATTGTCAGTTACTCTATCAGTCAGAGTAGTAGTAGTCATGGTGTTTGGAGGGCAAGTGACCTGGGGCTCAAGACCCAGCTTTTTCCTTTCTGGCCAGGTACAAGTGAGCAATGGCTCTTGAGCCCCAGTTCCCTGAACTGCAGAATAAAATTGATTTCCATAGAGTTGAAAACATTGGAGATTAATGGGCGTGGCAGCATAAGCCTTTAAATCCCAGCACTCCAGAGGCAGAGGCAGGTAGATTTCTGTTAGTTCAAGGCTAGCCTGGTCTACATAGTGAGTTCCAGGACAGTCAGAGCTGTCTCAAAAAAGAAAAGAAAGAAAACACGGGGGGAGAAGAAATAGAGCCATCAGCCCACAGTCTGGTGCAGAGGAGGGCAGGGCTAAGGGCTATTGCCATTGATGCTGTGTGTAGGTTCAGGTTCAGCCGTAGGTGAGAAGCTGAGGATTCTGGGAAAATGCTTCAGACAATGGGAGGTTCCCATGATGGCAGTGAGTGGAGCTACCTGTCTGAGCTCAGGATTGCTTCTTCTCTATGGGTCCCAAAAATGGAGTCAGCTGCTGAGAGCCCAGTGCTTCCCCAACCTACTGGGTGACTTTGGTGTGGCAATCTGCCCTTTCTGAGCTCAGTGTCCCCTCAGCCAGTGAGAGATGTTGAGTGGCAGCCCAGGGCTCTTATTCATTTAAGGTTCCTGTGAATTTGACAGTGTCACCACCCGACCCCATGTAGCCACTATTAGGCATGGGGACCAAGCAGCCCTCACCACAGTTACTCATCTGTTTTTTGTCAGGTTGTGGGCCGGGCATGACTCCTCATAGGTGATTGGCCTAGTCTTGTTCTCAACGTGTCTATAGACTGCTGGGACAAACAGCCTCACCTGGACCAGGCTCCCGGGGCTCTGATGGCCTGTGGGACCTTAAACAAGTCACTACCACCCCCTGGATGTCCATGAATCTGTGAAGGAAGGGGTTATACTTAAGGGCAAGAGCCTGAGGCTAGGCCCACAGCTCTCAAGAAGTAGATGGTGGCCCTGCCCCCATACTTGAGCTGCATCTGGTGACATCACCCCACCCCCTCCTGTTTCCCCAGCAACTGGGGTGCTGGCGGAGGATCCCCAGAGGCCCAAACCGTCTGGATTTCTTTGCATCCAACTGTACCTCATCCACATTTGCACAATTAACTTGTCAATCTGGGTTAAGTGCTGTCTGCTGATGACTGTCAGCCTCTCTCTGGCTCAGTTCACTGTTCACTCCGGCCCAGTGGGAATGTCTTGCCCAGCCCTCAGTTCTAGGGACAGAGAGTAGGGTAGATTCCAGCCTAGCTAAGCCACTCATCTGCTGTAGGTCTTGGGCAAGTCACTTTCCCTGTCTGGACTTGTGTCTCCCCTTCTGAAGAATAGGACTAATCATATCTGCCTAGCCTTCATTCCTCTCAAAGCAGCCTGAAGGCTCACAGGGGCCTGTAACTGTGGCAGAGTTTAGAAACTGTGGACTCCCTGTGTGGTGGTGGCACATGCCTTAATCCCAGCAGAGCAGGTGGATCTCTGAGTTTGAGGCCAGCCTGGTCTACAGAGTGAGTTCAAGGACAGCCAGGCTACACAGAGAAACGCTGTCTCGAAACAAACAAACAACAAAACAGACAAACACACAAAAACCAAAAAAAGAAGAAAAGAAAGAAAAGGAAAAGAAACTGTGAGCTTGCCAAGTCCAAAACAAGATGCTGAGAGGAGCTCTGATTCCCCACTATGTAGGTAAATTTAGCCCACACTCTGAGCTACTCTGCTCTCTGCCTGCATTTTTGGCTTCTCTGTTTCTTCCTGTCAAGGCCTAGACTAAAGACAGAGTGGAGGCACTAGGCCAGAAGGCCAAGGGCCTGCTTCCCACAGTGTGCCCATATGTACTAGTTGTCCCTTGCCCTCTCCAGGTACAAGACTCTCAGATCTGCCTGCCCCAGACCAGAGGCCAGCTGTACCTGACCTTGCCCCTCTCCACACAGGTCTGGAGACCTCCCCCTGTCTCCCGTTGCAGGCCCAGAGCTGCCCCCACCCCCAATCCCAGCTTGGCATGTAAGGCTTCCCACTCCTCTTCAGACTGGCAGCTTGAGCTATGGACTTGCCCTCCCCTGACACCATGCTTCTCCATCTTGTTTGTGCTCTCCCTGCTTCCCAGTAGGCGCCCCTCCCCCACTAGCCTGCTGACAGTTCCTCTCCCACCTACACATAAGCCTGCAAGTTTCCCATCTGGAATGGTTTATGTACCTGGCAGAAGAGGATCTAGCCTTTATCAGGGAGCTGTTACAGCCTAGAAAATTCACATCCATCATTTCATCTAGACCCCATTACAACCCTAGGTGGTAAAATTCATTCCCATTTTCCAGGTGAGACCCAAGACTCAGGCACAAGGATGATCCATACAGAGACAGTTGGCATGGCTGAAGCTCAAAACATGGGCAGAGCCTGCCTGGGCTTAGGCCCTAATGAACTTACTTGCTGTATGGAGATAGAGGCACACATCCATATAAACACTTGCTGTTAGCAAAATTGCATTACTGTGCCAGCACCAGAGACCCCTGTGATACCCAATGTTGTCACATAATAAAGGGGATCCAAGGAAGAGAGCCAGGATCTTCAGTACTTGCAGGGTTTTGCTCTAAAGGGATGAGGGTCCTCTTGCAGACAGAACCATCCCATAATAATAGAGACTGTCGTGGATGGTGGAAGGTGGGGAACCCTGCTTCTGGGATTTGTGAGCAAGGCTAGCTGAGGGATATTGACTCTTTCTGGCTCTGATGTCACACAGGGATGCAGCAGGGTCTGAGACAAAGGCACCACTGGTCCCATGTCCCACTCAGATTTCTGACCACCTTAGGGATATGAGAGTGACCCACTTCTGAGATGCTGAGACTGGGAAGTAGCATCACATGATAATTGTATATTTTGGTGTGTGTGTGTGTGTGTGTGTGTGTGTGTGTGTGTGTGTGTACAGCATGTGCACACATAGGCCATTACATGTCACTCTGCCTTTTTCCTTTGGGACAGGGTCTCTCATTTGAACCAAGGCTGGCAGCCAGCAAACCTCAGAAATACTCCTGTCTCAGTTTCCAATTGCTGAGTTAGAAAAAGTACACTTTCCGGCATTTTACATGGAGGATTTGAACTCATATCCTTATCCATAAACAGAAAACTCTTACCCACTGGACTATCTTCAGCCCCATCTTTTCATCCTTAACCTGTTCGTTCCTTCCTTCCTTTATTTCTGGTTTGCGTTTTCGAGACAAGGTTTCTCTGTGTAGCCCTGGCTGTCCTGGAACTTACTCTGTAGATCAGGCTGGGGTCTACAGCCTCCTGCCTCTGCCTCTCTAGTGCTGGGATTAAAGGCATGTGCCACCACTGCCAGGCTGCCTGTTTGTTTCATATGCCCACCCCTGTCCCCGGAGCCGAGAAGGAATTTGTAGGACATGAGGCCTAAGTTTCAGCTTGCCTTGATCACAGTGGACAAACAATAACGGGCCAGCCCAGATCAAGGGTGGAAGGACAGACCTCACCTGTGGCAGGGTGTGTAAGTCAGCCTTCTCATGGCTGTGCTAGATAGCTGAGAAAAACAATGTCGGAGGAGAGATTTACTTCAGTTCATG